ATGCTTGAGCTGGGCTATAGCAGAAGTCCATATGATTGTTGTGTGTATCACAACAAGGTGGAGGATGGTTCAATGATCTATCTTGTTCTGTATGTGGATGATATGCTCATAGTTGCGAGGTCAAAGTCTGATATCCAGAAGTTAAAGGGGCTTCTCAGTGCTGAGTTTGAGATGAAGGATTTGGGAGCTGCTCAGAAGATCTGGGGTATAGAGATTTACAGAGACAGGTCGAAGAAGAAGCTTTTCTTGTCACAGAAGAGCTACATCCAGAAGATACTGTCGAGGTTTGGCATGTCTTCAGCAAAGCCCTTAAATACTCTCAGTGCTTCAAATGTTCATCTATCCTCAGCTTATGCACCGCAGTCAGAGGTTGAGAAGGAGTACATGTCGAGAGTCCCATATGCTAGTGCAGTAGGTAGCTTGATGTACGCTATGGTATGCACTAGACTTGATCTTGCACATGCTGTTAGTGTTGTCAGCAGGTTTATGATACAACCTGGGAAGGAGCATTGGCAGGCTGTGAAGAGGATCTTCCGGTACCTTAAGGGTACACCTGATGTGGGGATTAGCTTCGGAAGTGATACAGAGTGCTTGGTGTCTGGGTATTCTGACTCGAACTATGCTGGAGATGTTGACATGAGAAGATCGATGACCGGTTATGTATTCACTCTTGGGAGTTCTGTAGTGAGCTGGAAGGCAACTTTGCAGTTGGCGGTGACATTGTCTACTACTGAGGCAGAGTATATGGCGTTGACAGAAGCTGCTAAGGAGGGAATATGGTTGAAGGGACTGGTTGGTGATCTGGGTCTACATCATGATCAGGCAGTGGTGTATTGCGACAGTTTGAGTGCAATATGCTTGGCCAAAGGATCAAGTCCACCATGAGAGGACTAAGCACATCGACGTGAGGTATCATTTCTTGAGGACAGAGAAGAGGATTAAGGTGAAGAAGGTTGGCACCGCGGATAATCCTGCTGATATGTTCACGAAGCCGGTTCCACATGGCAAGTTCCAACACTGCTTGGACTTGCTGAATGTCTTGAGTGGGTGACTCCGCCCTGCGGGGCATTGATGGCGGGAGAGAGATAGAAGGAGCAGAGTACATCAGAGATTTCAGAGGAAGAGGATTCAAGTCAAGATGGAGATTTGTTGATGTGACTTGAATCGGACTATCAGCCGCTACGACTGGTAATCGGGGGTCTCGCTGGATTGGATTAGGTTTAGAGCCACATGAAAAAGTACTATAAATACTTCTCATACTACTCTGTAATCTGTAATCTCCTCGATATAGTGAAACTGGCTCTCTTGCCCGTGGACGTAGCTAACACACATCGTGTTAGTGAACCACGTAAATCGTGTGTCTGTGTTTTTCGATTCTCGCTTTCGTATTCTTACTTTATTGATTCCAGCGTGTTTATAACACTCATATAGTAGAGAAAGGGATCCAGAGGCAGATTATTTTATTTTCTAGATATTTTGTCTTCTATGGCGCTTATGAAAGAATCAATGTAAAGTCATGTTCGATCATAAGCAGGTAAGATTGGAAACCTTGCCTAATCAATGGAGCCTTCAATTCAATATGGTGGAAAAGGCTCTTCTATGTCCTCAATAAGATCCCTGATGATCGGTGATTACTAATAGTGTACAAGTTCATTAGAACTATGGAACTCATCGTGCCTCGCTTTTCTTTGATGTGGCTACTTGTGTTAGGGATTTTGGCTAGACTACTTATGTCTTTCACGATGCTACAAGTGATCTGGTTGCTGCCTCAGCCATGTTGTATGATGATATTGGTCATTGGTGGCAATGTATTCAAAATCGCGCTTTAAAACTTAAAAGCTTACGCTTTACACTTATAGGTCGCCAAAATTCTTCTATGTAGAATCACGTGTTTCCCTTACAACTATATTCAAAATATACACTTTAAAACTTAAGAACTTACGATTTTACGCTTCTAGATCAACTAAACGCTTCTAGATAGAATCTCAATTTTGAATGCATTGATTGGTGGAGATGCAAAGATTATCATTGACAAGTGCAACTCGTAATTCTTTTGATGCTAAGAATGGACCAATTCTACTAGAGATCTGTGCAATTTTGGATGAGATGAGTTTCTTCATGGTTGAGTTTGTTGATTGTGATAGAAATCGTGTGGCTCATAGTGTGGTCAGTCATGCTTTTTTATTGTCACCCTGCTTGTTAAGGGATTTGGATGTCCATTCTTGGTTTCGTAGTAGATAGATAATTTATTTTTGTATCTCTGTACATTAGTTCTTTTCGGTTTCTTAGAGAGATAGATTGAGAAAAATAGTTGGAGGAGGGCTTGTCGTGGTTGCCTTGTCTCGTCATCTTGTTAGGACTTGGGAAATGAATAAGGTTCGACGAGTGAAGGGAATGATTAGGTTTTCAATTATTTACTTAATTAGCTTAACAAAAAAAATTCTCAACATCGAGGAACAATCAATCATGAGCTTTTACAATAGTCATGGTCATGTTAGCGAAATGGTTCTCACTGTCGTGAACAGATTTCAAGGTCGCGAACGGATTTCATGGTCGCAAACTAGTTTTATGGTATCATAGTTTCACGATCGTGGAATGGCTTGGTGAAATGAAAAGATAAAGACCTCTTATTTGTAAGTAGAATGGAGGAGAGATAGCACTTCAAACCCAATCATATATCTTGACACTCCCTTGATCTAGGGGTTATGGGTTTCCAAGGCTAAAGTCGTGCAAATGCCAAAATCAAGGGGATCACTATAATGATGATACAGTTAAATAATCACTTCAAGTAGCCAAAAAATCCCTTCACTTGCCTTCTGAAAAGACGCCTAGTGAATAAGGGGGAAATCATTGCCCATAAAGATACACCAAGGGTTATAATTTTTCAAAAGCATTTTGTTCGACCCGTCTTATTGCTACAATTCATCTTGAACATAGTCAGGGGCTCACGATCACCATATGTCACAAGATTTGAATACTAACTCATTCTAACTACAACATCTTAATCGACGGCCAAGTATAACCGTCGACCGGGTGTAGCATAGGGCAAGCAAGCAATAAGAATTTATCGTACCCCGGGGATCTAGGCTTACCCTACTTCAGATTTAGGGTTCATTATCTAGCTAACATAGGATAGTGATTAATGAAACTAAGCTAACTAACCTACACTAACCACTAACCTAGCTATTTACAAGGTTGGGAGCTCTCTTGGGCTGAATCGTCCTAGGTCCGTTCTTTGGATCGATGTTGGGTATCCTCCTAACTCGATCGACTCAAATACGCCACCGTTTGGAGGTGGACTCCCTCGCAAATGACCCAAACGGCAAATCGATGGATGTGTAGGTGCTCTATTCAACCTAGGGTATCGTATATTGCTAGGAGGTGGATCGAGTCAACTCCCTAAGGGGATTATCTCTCTCCTAGGTCAAAAGCTCAAGAAATGAAAATGGAAACCCAACTCATGTCATTCATGAAAACATCCATCAATTAAGGAAAATCATCAATCAAATATGGAGTTTGTCACATACATCAACATTAAACCCAAATCTAGACCTAGGGTTCTTAAACCCAAGAGAAGAGGGTGAGCTTCTAGAGAGAGAGAGAGAGAGAGAGAGAGAGAGAGAGATTACAAATTTGAGTTCAAGATCTTCTTCTTCTTATAGGCTTGAATCCTTGTCTTCAATATCAACCCAAGCCTCCAATAGCTCCAAGATCACTCTAGCACTCTCTCTCTCTCTCTCTCTCACTAGAACTCTCATTTGGTGTTTTTAGCTAAAACCCTAGAGAGGGAATTAAATTTCTCTCCAAAAACCAGCTCTCCTTCCTCTCCCCGCTGCTGTCTTCATATTTGCCCGAAAGTGACCAGTTCACGGCCGTGAACACCTAAACACGTCTGTGAACTCAATGTCGTCTCCAAAACGCACCGCTTCACTCTCCTGGGTTCACGGTTTGTGCTCCATGTTCACGGTCTTAGAGACCGTGAACTCCCTTGGCGTCAATAACTTCTGGAACATCGCTGGACTCCTCGATGTTCACGATTTGTGGTTCCAATTCACGGCCTTAGAAAACCGTGAACTCCAATGCTGGATCGTGAACTACGACTGCTTCTTGGACTATTCTTTGGTTTTTGTAATTTTTTACCTCCAATTATCCCGAAACTCGTCTTCGACCTTCCCACACGTACTAGGACCTGAAATGTATCAAAAGAAACACAACCTAGCATAAAATAGGTCGAGGGACGGTGATCTACTAAACAAAAGGGACAAGAAATGAGGGGTAAAATGTGTGTATTTGGACCCGAATCAAATACTCACGACCAGGGACCATTGTTTGGGGAATTAAATGAACTTGATTCGGTTCGAACAAGAGTCACAGTGATGCAACCCTAAAAATCTCCCAACCCATACTGGCTAGAAAATTCACTCGCTAAAAATCACCAAATACCTAAGGTCCCATACAAGGACATTGAAGATCAACATTGATTGCCTCTCAGGTCTCAGCTAGACCCGCCTGAAGGACTACACCACCCAGTCGTTCCAGCCAAGGCACTAAGGGCACGACCAGATGGTATAACTGACGAAGAAAGGGGCTAAGAGTGCATTGTGACAACCAAGCCTCCATCCCTCATTTCAGTAAGGCATTCTATCCTCTAGCATTTACATTCCTTCTGTCTCATTGTTTTTTCAGGTTTTCCCTCAGTGACCGGAACGTGGAAGGGTAAACCCCGACTATCAAGTATATGTTACTGTACTGCCTTGCAGGTCTGCCAATCGAAAACCGACCAAAGAGGACTCAAACACCAACCCCTCCAAATTTCCTTCTCAAAAGATGACTCTAAACCAGTGCTATCAAAGCCGAACCGAGTCGGCCGGCCGGACCGCCAAAGCCGCCACCCGGCCAGAAAACCGGTTCGGATCAGCTATTTAACCGCCACGGTTTTATACAGCGGCCGGCGAGCGGCCAAAAGGGTTAACCGTTCGAGCCGCTCAAGCCAGTCGCGCGGTTCGACCATTTGGTTATTAAAAAAAATAGAAAAGGAATCGTGGAATTGGGCAGCCAAACAAAACCCTAACTTTCCTTTTATTTCTCCATCTTCGACCTAGAAGTAGAACAGACAACAGAGGGAGAGTGGCGCCACCCTGCCGCCGTCAACCATCGCCCCAGGCCCCCAGCGCTTCCGTCCTGTCGCTGCAAGCAGGTCGCCGCCGCAAGCAGGTTGTCGCCGCAAGCAGCGCGCCATCGCCAGTCGCCATCGCCAGTCGCCATCGTCGCTTCTTCTCCCCGCTCCTGGCGCAAGCAGCTCGCAATCGCCGCAAGCAGCGCCATCGCCAGTCGCCATCGTTGCTTCTGCTCCCCGCCATCGTCGCATGCAGCCCCCTGCAGCCCTGCTCCTACCGCAACATCTCCCCCAACCACTGCCCTGGTCCAGCCATTGCCCTGCTCCAGCCATCTCACCTCCACAGTCCGCAACATCTCCCACCAGCCGACTCACCTCCTGCTCGAGGTAAGTTAATTTTGTTAAACCTAATTGATGCAAATTTTTGGTTGATTGTAATGTTAATTTGCATCATTTTGATTTCAATGTTAATTTGCATTTGTTTACTTGTTTACTTGATTGAGTTATTTAGAAGTTTCAGAATGGTAGTGTTAGATTTTCCATTGTAAATTTACTTGTTCTAGAATGGTTTAAGAGAGTAATTTACTTGTGGTTTACCATGATTAAGAAGTGTCTACTATTACAGATGAATGTTTATTAGGTACTGGTTCTCAAACGGTTTTTAAACGGTCTAATGTCGGCTGGACCACTAATGACCAAGCCGTTCACGTTATCGGGTCATACTCCGGCTCGGCTTTGACAGCATTGCTCTAAACACAAACTTTATTGCTCCGGTTCTCCCACCGAGATTGGCCCAAAAAGTCTCGCCCAAAACACCACCCAAATTGGAAAAGAACTCTAAAATCTATTTGGTTGATGTATTCATTAATAACATCATTACCGGATCACAGGCTAAAATAAAATACCTAGTTAATATATAAAAGTTTAGGGCGTGAGTTACTATTCATAAGTGGCTCTGGTGCTCCTCCAAGTGCAAGTGGAAAAGTTCCAAATTGCTTCTTTTACCACACTCTCCATTTTATAACATTTGTGTTTAAATATTGTTCACTAGGTTTACATCTATTGAACCCAAACTCAAGGGTATATTAACTTGAACCCAAGACCGCTACCACGAGTTTTGTATCGGGGCCGAGTTTCATCCTCTTTAATGTTTTTTCTTTTCTCCTTTTCCTTTTTGTTGACCATCATCACAATCGAACCCAATTATAATAATAATAATAATAATAATAATAATAATAATAATAATAATTAATATATAAAAGCCTAGGTTGTGAGCTACTATTCATTAGTGGCTCTCACACTCCTCCAAGTGCGAGTGGGGAAGTTCCAAGTTGCTTCTTTTACCCCTCTACATTTTAGAACCTTTTTGTTTAACTATTATTCACTAGGTTTACATCTATTGAACACAAACACAAGGGTATCGCAACTTGAACCCAAGGCCGCTTCCACGACTTTTGTATCGGACCGAGTTTCATCCTCTTTAGTGTTTTTTCTTTTCTCCTTTCCTTTTTGTTGACCATCATCACAATTGAACCCATTCATTAATTAATATATAAAAGACATTTGATTCGGTCAAAGCGGCTTGAAACTGACTTTAGTATTTATGAATTTCTCTTTCTTTCTTTTGGATGGGAAGAAAATTGAAGGTTGTGAGTTACTATTCATTAGTGGCTCTCACACTCCTCCAAGTGCAAGTGGGGAAGTTCCAAATTGCTTCTTTTACCCCCACTCTCCATTTTATAACCTTTGTGTTTAACTATTATTCACTAGATTTACATCTATTGAACCCAAACACAAAGGGTATCCTAACTTGAATCCAAGACAACTATCATGAGTTTTGTATCGGGGCCGAGTTTCATCCTCTTTAGTGTTTTTTTCTTTTCTCCTTTTCTTTTTTGTTGACCATCATCACAATTGAACCTTATAATAATAATAATAATAATAATTAATATATAAAAGCCTAGGTTTTGAGTTACTATTCATTAATGGCTCTCACACTCCTCCAAGTGCATGTGGGGAAGTTCCAAGTTGTTCTTTTACCTCACTCTCCATTTTATAACCTTTGTGTTTAACTATTGTTCACTAGGTTTACAGGTATTGAACCCAAACACAAGCGTATCGTAACTTGAAGCAAAGCCCGCTTCCACGAGTTTTGTATCGGGACCGAGTTTCATCCTCTTTAGTGTTTTTTCTTTTCTCCTTTTCCTTTTTGTTGACCATCATCACAATTGAACCCCATCAATAATTAATATATATATAACATTCGATTCGGTCAAAGCGACTTGAAACTGACTTTAGTTTTTATGAATTTCTCTTTCTTTCTTTTGGTTGGGAAAACAATTGAACCAGAATATAAGGTATTAACGAGTGTTGTATTGTGAGAGAGTTGTATCCACTTTTATAGTTGGCAGGTAGAACCAAGTGTTAATTAATTAATATATAAAAGCCTAGGTTGTGAGTTACTATTCAATAGTGGCTCTCACACTCCTTCAAGTGCAAGTGGTGAAGTTCCAAATTGCTTCTTTTACCACACTCTCCATTTTATAACCTTTGTGTTTAACTATTATTCACTAGGTTTACATCTATTGAACCCAAACACAAGAGTATCTTAACTTGAACCCAAACACAAGAGTATCTTAACTTGAACCCAATGTCGCTATCACGAGTTTTGTATCGGGACCGAGTTTCATCCTCTTTAGTGTTTTTTCTTTCTCCTTTTCCTTTTGTTCACCATCATCACAATTGAACCCAATCATTAATTAATATATAAAAGACATTCGATTCGCTCAAAGCGACTTGAAACTAACTTTAGTATTTATGAATTTCTCTTTCTTTCTTTTGGTTGGGAAGACAATTGAACCAGAATATAAGGTATTAATCTCCGATTTGAAAATACAAAATTTTCCTTACCATATAATATTCGTTTTCTAGAAAAAATAATTTTAGCCTAGGTTGTGAGTTACTATTCATTAGTGGCTCTTACACTCCTGCAAGTGCATGTGGGGAAGTTCCAAGTTGTTCTTTTACCTCACTCTCCATTTTATAACCTTTGTGTTTAACTATTGTTCACTAGGTTTACATGTATTGAACCCAAACACAAGCGTATCGTAACTTGAAGCCAAGCCCGCTTCCACGAATTTTGTATCGGGACCGAGTTTCATCCTCTTTAGTGTTTTTTATTTTCTCCTTTTCCTTTTTATTGACCATCATCACAATTAAACCCCATCATTAATTAATATATATAAAACATTCGATTTGGTCAAAGCGACTTGAAACTTACTTTAGTATTTATGAATTTCTCTTTTTTCTTTTGGTTGGGAAGACAATTGAACCAGAATATAAGGTATTAACGAGTGTTGTATTGTGAGAGAGTTGTATCCGCTTTTATAGTTCGCAGGTAGAACCAAGTGTTAATTAATTAATTAATATATAAAAGCCTAGGTTGTGAGTTACTATTCATTAGTGGCTCTCACACTCCTTCAAGTGCAAGTGGTGAAGTTCCAAATTGCTTCTTTTACCACATTCTCCATTTTATAACCTTTATGTTAAACTATTGTTCACTAGGTTTACATCTATTGAACTCAAACACAAGGGTATCCTAACTTCAACCCAATGTCACTATCACGAGTTTTGTATCGGGACCGAGTTTCATCCTCTTTAGTGTTTTTTCTTTTCTCCTTTTCCTTTTTGTTCAACATCATCACAATTGAACCCAATCATTAATTTATATATAAAAGACATTCGATTCTTTCAAAGCGACTTGAAACTAACTTTAGTATTTATGAATTTCTCTTTCTTTCTTTTGGTTAGGAAGACAATTGAACCAGAATATAAGGTATTAATCTCCGATTTGAAAATACAAAATTTTCCTTACCATATAATATTCTTTTTCTAGAAAAAATAATTTTATTTCATTTATCATCATAAAAATAAATTGAAAAATAGTATTATTTAATATGAAATAAATCTAACGTTATCCATTTTAAATAATTTTTTAATTTTAGAATTTATATTCAAACTTTATGTTAGAAATATTTGTTAATAATTTTATATGACCTCTTATATTAGAAAATAATTCTGATAGTTTTTCAGCTAAACACTCAACTGTTTTTTTTAATACTTCTTCAAAAGATCTAGAGAATTTGCTTCATTCTACAAAAAGTACAGCGGGATCAACCACTAGCCATACACATTGAAACAATAGCGTCATGAGAGAAGTTTAAACATAAATAATATATTCAATGACCCTTCTACCTTATGCAAGTTCATCGACTATATGATATTGTAAATAACAAACCTATGAAAAGAATGATTAAGAATGAAATAAGATTATTTTCACTTTTGGGTCAACATTAAAACTATTACTCTTTAAAATACTTATTTTTCTAATGCGCGAAGCGATAGCGAGCGGGCTTTTGCTAGTAAACCACATCCATTTACCCGAAATTGAATCCAATGCCTGGGTGATGGTGAAGGTAGGGGTGTACATGGGTCGGGTGGTCCGGGTTTAACCGTTTTAATCACCCGATCCATGCATAACGGTTTGGAACTAATTGGGTTGGGTCGGGTTGGCGATATTTTTAAGTAAAAACTCAACCCAATACAAAATAGGGTTAATACCTTATTTTGGACCAAACTATGACCATATAATCAACTTTGGCCCATGTTTTCATAAATTAACATTATGGCCTCAACTATGCAGCATATAGACTCAATTGGCCAGACACATGGTTTGACCGTCAATTAGGACGGTCAACGCCATTGACCGTTAGTCAACACGCCATGTCATTGCCTCGTCAGTCTAAAAATCATTAAAAAATTCAAATTATTTTCCTAATTTATCATTTTCAAACTATAATTTTAAAAAAATATAAAATAAAATTATATTTTTGGGATATTTTAAAATGATAAATTTTATAAATTAACCAAAATTTATAGAATTATATTTTTAATTTAAAATATATGATATAAATTATATTTTTAAATTTTTTGGTAATTTTAAAAATATATATAATTTGATAATTTTTTGTTAATTTATAAAATTTATCATTTTCAAATTACCCAAAAGTTAAAAGTTAAAAATTTAAATTTATTTTATGTTATTTATAATTTATTTTTGGTTAATTTGATAATAAATAATAAAAATTAGAAAGATCATTTGAATTTTTTTAATAATTTTTACGCTGACGAGGCAATGACATCGCGTGTTGACTAATGGTCAATGGTGTTGACCATTCAAATTGACGGTCAAACTATGTGTCGGCCAATTAAGCCTAGATATTACATAGTTGAGGACAGGATGTTAATTTCTGAAACCACGGACCAAAGTTGATTATATGGTCATAGTTGAGGCCAAAATAAGGTATTAACCCTACAAAATATGTA